CTGAATCATCATGTTAATCACATAGCTATCATATGCCTCAAACAGTCCTGATGCTCTTCTAGGTAATCACACATCCTGTCATGTTCACAGCTACAGTTGATACCTTTGTTAGCATGTTGCTCTCATGTTGGAGGAGGACCTTCACTATTTTCCCAAGAAAATCCCTTTAAAAAACCAGGAGTGGTTCGATTTAAATTAGAGCCAGAACGCTGAGTTATTCGCTGTCGGGGGGGATTAGCGTCACTGTCTGTTTGACGCAGATGATTGTGATTATTACAAATGATTCAGAGCTGCTTGGCCCGCAGTTATTCACCTACCTCATATCTCGTTTGGAGTTTGATATGAAGCATAATCACACATCATTTCACAGACATGTCGACATTAACGATTATAAATTCGTACAGTTGGACACGTTCCCTGGCCAACTCTCGTTTTACATGTTTAAACAACGTAGCCACAAACACATCTCTACCAAAAAGCTGCTAATGTTTTCATGCAAAAGTAGATATTTCCTATCTCTATACTTTCGGCTCTGCTTGCAAGTATGCAGAGGAGAAGGTTTCATTTACTCAGGTAAGAAGTACTAAAACCACACTGTACAAAAACTCTGTTACCTCTAAAGTTCTGTAGTATAATCAGGGAAATACTGAAGTTCATTCAGATTCAATACAGATGAATGAAAGTGTCCCCTGTGACTGTTATCCGAGTAAATATTACATCACTAGATGTGAGAAATGCAATCATATTTCAAATGGAAAACCAACAAATATTCACATCGAGAAATTCACATTTTATGCAAACTTTAAACTTTAAAGTGTCTCTTATGGTGAAATTCTTCATATTTTTTTATTTGCATGAATCTTAAAGAGCCCATATTCTGCTTGTTGGGGTTTTCCCGTCCCTGTGCAGGGTTATATACGTTTGTGTGCATGTAAATAGTCTGCAAAGGCAAAATGGAAACGTCACCGTAGAGGAACAGAATACTAATATGAACCTGCAACCGTATAGAATACAGTCTATGATATGATGGTAACTTCAACTGTGAGATAAATAAATAAGTACCCTTAAATGTTCTTAAGTACAGTACTTACACATTGAAAAACGTAATATATAAAGTAATAAATAACTAATGCAAAACATGGTGGAATACAAGTAGAAGGTGGCATGAAAACGAATTGCTCAAAACAAGTAGAGGTATCTCAAAATGTAAGTAAAGAGTGAAAAGGTGCAATATTACGCTCTGATACGTGAAGTACAAGTAGAAAGTGGCTTAAAAATATAATACTCAAATAAAGTAGAGATATCTCAAATCAAGAATGTAAAACTCCATATACAAAGTAATGGATAACTAAAGCAAAGCATGGTGGAATACAAGTAGAAGGTGGCATGAGAACAAAACTCTCAAAGTCCATTATACTTGAGTAAATGTGATTTCCAGCCCCTCAGTTGTGTATATGTAATGATGCAGAGCTGCATTCTGGGTGTATGCCGTGAGGAAAATGTTCCTCATGAGGCCCAGAGGAGGTGCTGACCCTGGGCAACGTTTCTCTGTAATGGGGAGCAGAACCGGGGAACATTTTCCACGAGGTTCCTCTCAGAGACCCTCGTATATTCCCAGGCTCAGATCCAGACCCTCTGACAGCTCCATATGTTCTGGCACGGTCCTTCACACGCTGCACAAACTTGAGCTTTTACACGTCATGCTTTGTTGCTTTGCTAATGCTTTGAACAAAGTGTGAAAGCTGCGACAGTGAAGTGAGAAAAGCCCTGGAATTAGTTGACGTTATAATAATAATAATAATAATAATAATAATAATAATAATATTACACGGGATTTTTGTTAGATTTCTGTAAACCACCATCAAAAAGGTTAAAAGTCAACATGCAGTTAGCTGGTTAACTTCCCTTTAAAATGCTTTACATTGAATACACAGACACGTGTTTGAAGCACAGCTTGTTTATGGTCAGTGTAGATGTTTCAGTAAAGTCCACTAACGTAGACAGCTTTCTGCTAAATGTAATCACAGTCAAACGGACATAATCGTAGAGAGGAACAAGAAATCCTGCATTTAAGGCTGAGATCATCTGAAGATTCAACCAAATTGATGATGCTCATAATATCAGAGGTGGGAGAAATACTCAGATCGTGTACTTGAGTAAAAGTAGAAGTACTCAGATCTTGTACTTGAGTAAAAGTAGAAGTACTCAGATCGTGTACTTGAGTAAAAGTAGTAGTACTCAGATCGTGTACTTGAGTAAAAGTAGAAGTACTCAGATCTTGTACTTGAGTAAAAGTAGAAGTACTCAGATCGTGTACTTGAGTAAAAGTAGAAGTACTCAGATCGTGTACTTGAGTAAAAGTAGAAGTACTCAGATCTTGTACTTGAGTAAAAGTAGAAGTACTCAGATCTTGTACTTGAGTAAAAGTAGAAGTACTCAGATCTTGTACTTGAGTAAAAGTAGAAGTACTCAGATCTTGTACTTGAGTAAAAGTAGAAGTACTCAGATCTTGTTCTTGAGTAAAAGTAGAAGTACTCAGATCGTGTACTTGAGTAAAAGTAGAAGTACTCAGATCGTGTACTTGAGTAAAAGTAGAAGTACTCAGATCGTGTACTTGAGTAAAAGTAGAAGTACTCAGATCGTGTACTTGAGTAAAAGTAGAAGTACTCAGATCTTGTTCTTGNTCAAAAACTCTCTAAATTATGACTTTTTCAAAAAAATCAAACAATTATGAGATAATACAGTTTAATCTGTCAAAAAAAAAGTCATAATTTTGAGAAAAAGTCATAATTGTTTGATTTTTTTGAAAAAGTCATAATTTAGAGAGTTTTTGAGAAAGTAATATTTTTGAGATTTTTAGAAAAAGTCATGATTTTTTGAGAAAGTAATATTTTTGAGATTTTGAGAAAATCATGATTTTTGAGAAAAAGTCATATTTTTGAGATTTTTAGAAAAAGTGATAATTTTTTTGAAAAAGTCAGAATTTTGAGATTTTGAGAAAAAGTCAAAGTTTTGATATATAATCTATTCTGTATGTGATGACTACTTCCATTCTGGAGAGGATCACAGATACATGGATCCTGAGATTGAAGCTCAAGCCGGGGACCAGGGAGATTATTCTAACACATTTGGATCAGAGAGCGTCTGGTCTGCAGGCTGCTCTGTGTGAGAATGAGTTTTGGTGTGGTGGAAACATCGGCTTTTACCGGAGGTGTCGACGGGAGGAGAGTCGGGATCGTCCATCAGGGTGGTGTTCTCCTCCCCCGCCAGTGGAACACTCTCGCCTCCGTCAAACATCCCAAACACGGCCACAGTGTACTTCGTTCCCGCCCTGAGGGAAGAAAGAAAGTAAAAAAAACATAAATCGAAATGTCTATAATGTGAAAAAATAAGCTCCTAGTATTTCAAATGGCTGTCAAGTTAAATAACTTCTTTTATTGGACCTGCAGAACTTGAAGGTCTCCTAAAAAAAAAAGAGACGAGAGCTCATTCAGGAGAATTCTACCGGCAGAAACTCAGCTAAATGCTGCTGTGACTAAACGCCATATCATGTTCCAAACCACATCAAGGATTCTCTCTGAAACAGGATGGAGCTCAAACTCTTTCTCTCAGGTTCACCACAAGGTGAGTTCCTTTTGATTTCCTGCTTCTTCACACACACTCTCTCCAGTACAGGTTAGCTCTGAGTGTTAGCATGCTAATGTAAACACAGACCATATTAGTTCCAGAACAAGTCTCATTGTTTCTGACAGCAACGTTTCTGATTGGCCCGTGGGGGCAAAGCCCGCCCACATTTTAGTAATGTTGTCATGACGCAGGAAATCTGGATCAGCTCCGTTGTTCCCCGTTTTTAGAGAAGTGGGTACGGAGGAGAAGAGAGAGGGGTTTATTTCCTGACATATATTTATGTTTAAAAGACATAAAAAAGTGCATTTTGCATAATAGGAGACCTTTAACTAATCTACAGGAACCTTTTTAGAGAGTTCACCATGAAGTTGTTCATAATAATATTTTGCTTAAAAGTGCAAACATTAAAACACACCAGGATAATATGACCCTGTTTCACCAGATGTTGTTCATGAAACAAACACATTTCACATGTTGTTCTACTTTAGAGTAATTCTGTCTGAGTCAAACTGGCGTTACACCTCCCTTCTCAGTCCAGACAAGGGAGAATAAAACAGGAAGAGACAGTGGATCGTCGCGATGCTGCCAGGAAGCTAAATGTAAAAAATGTAAAGCGCTTCACTCCAGCGGAGTCCAGGTTTTCTAAGTATGTTCGATAGCCAAAAGCTGGCATTGCATGAACTGCCAACTTGTTTGCCATTTAAGTCAGCCAGACTTTGAGTCTTTTAGTTTCTCAGAAGCTCAAAGACTATAGCCATACAGTTATTTCTGAATAAAAAGCACAGAAATCTTCTACCCCTCCCTAGCTGCTGGTATAGACACCAAGGTAAGAGACATTGAATTAACCACAAGTATTAAAGGCTTAAGGGTCACCTGATCGTGGCGTCACTGGTTTAAAAGTCTCAGATTCCTGCCGTCCAGACTACAACACAGTCCCTGATTTTCGAACATGGAACCCTTCTCTCATCAAGGCATGACCTTTTTCAGAATATTTAAACATCTAGTAGTTTGAAAAAAGCTTACCTAAGTTCCTCTAGAACGATGGTGTTATCGTAGGGACCGACTAGGAGCTCCCCCAGGTCGATATCATTCCCATCGGGGTGAAAGGTCACCTTGTAGCCCTTCACTTCTCCGGGAGATGGGTCCCAGGTGACCCTGAAACTGGTCTTAGTGGGTTCTGAGGTCTGAAGGTTCCTGGGAGCCTTGTAGGGAGACACTGAAATAAAAAGAACCCGGGAAGAACTTCAGGACAAACTTGTGCAGAACAAAAATTGAATAAAACTCCATTGATTGGCAAAGGTTTGGAAGGTCAGCCAGTCCACATTCAAGCTCATCAGTCCATAATACAATACCTTGAACCTGATTGGTTAAAGAAGCCCAGTGTCATGCCGTGTGTTAGTAATAATAGCGTGTGATTGAGCGTGGGTTTATCAACTGTGGTTTTAGTGTGCTGGTGCTTCTTTGCAGGGTTAAATAATATGCATCTTAACAAGCCGTTTAAACTGGAAGTCGGTCTTAAATTCTGGAACAAAAGGGAATAAAAATGCAACTTGGACGACCTAATCATGTTCGTGTCCAACAAAGCATGAGTTGTGTTATCGTTTCTCGAGAAAAAAAGTGAGAAAATTGTCCAACAAGCCAAGGTTTCTCCGTTAGTTTTGCAATAATGACATTTACTTGGAGATAGCAAGGAAGCCAGTTGAGGTCAGAGTCCGTAGCCTGACCAGAAAGGTTGGATTTTGGGGGAATTTAAATACATTTTCCTGAGTATGTCAAAGACAAATAAAGTCTAAAAATTGCGACGTGACCCTAACCCTAACCCTAGTGAGACCAAATAAACACATCCATTGGTTTTCTGACCTGTACAATGATTGACATTTCATAGGAAAAGGTCCTTAAAAGTTAGTTTAGATTAAATCCTGACTACAAAGGTCTGATTTTGTGGGAATCAAACACATTTTCCAACGTTAAACCCACTCAGATAAAGTCATAACGTTGAGACCCTAACCCTAACCCTTGCAACTGAAATGACTACTCACAGAAGCAAAAACAATGCATCCAGTAGTTTGTCTAACTTTCTTCAAGGAGAACCAATATTAGCCCAAAAGTTAAAGCGACATTTTAAATTTTCCTACCTAAAAATGTGTTTCTTAATACTGACATTTCATAGGAAAAACTCCCTCAAGGTCAGTAGAGATGAAAGTCTAAATACTGATTCTAAAAGTTTGATTTTGTGTGAATCAAACACATTTTCCAACGTTAAACGCAGTCAGATAAAGTTGAGAAGTGACCCTAACCCTAACCCTAGCAACTGAAAACAACACATCCATTAGTTAGTCTTATACGTTCTGTAAGTAGAACCAATATAAGCCCAAAAGTTAACATGGAAACGTCTAAATCCTGACTGTCATAACGTTGATAGTGACCCTAACCCTAACCCAGGTCAAATAAAGTTACTACACACAGAAGCAATAACAACACATCCATTAGTTAGTCCAACTTTCTATAAGTAGGACCGATGCTAGCCCAAGATTTATGGTACATTTAATGATATACCATGTACTTGTAACTGGTTAATGCTCCGTGACGTTTAGGCTATTTAACGTGTGTTCGAGCCACTTTTCGATATCGGAGCTACTGGTTCTGCAACAACTTTCTACCCAGTAGCACCCGCCATGTACTCTAGATAATTGGGGCTGGAGTTTGACCGATATGTGGGGAGTGAGAGGTGGCATGACTGCTGTGGAAACCCGAAAAACGAGTTTGCAATCAGGCACCATCTCCAAACCAGGCCTGGAACCTTCCTCTGTTTCCTAAAGCCTTGAAATCAGACCAACATTTCTACCTCTACGTCATCTGCAAGTTTTGGTAACACTTTATATCAAGGTACACATATTCACCATCAACTAGTAACATGCATATTAGCAGTATATTGTCTCTTTGTTAGTCATTATTAAATGCCTTATTAGGCCTTAAGCATTAGGCCATTAGTCAAGAGTTTTTCCTTAATAACCCTCTAATTAGTGCTTATTTATTGTAAGTAAGGACGTTGTTGTACGTGAGTTTGGGTCTTAATATGCTTTGCTCAATATCTCCCATAATAACACCTAACAAATATGGTTACTATAAGTGTTAATTGTGTCAAAATAACTCAAAATGATGTTCCCTATTTTAAAGTGAAGTCTTGTTCATTTGTACTGTTTCTGTTTGACTAAAAAAATGTTATATTTTACTACATATTTTTAACTATTCTTTCTCTACCTGTGTTTTTAATTCTTGTTTGTATGCACCACGACACCAAGTCAAATTCCTCGTACGTGTAAACCTACCTGGTAATAAATCTGTTTCTGATTCTTCTGATTCTGATATGCATGTTAATTAACAACCACTTGATGGTGAACATGTGTACCTTAATCTAAAGTGTTACACAAACATTTTTTAAGAGTGAGCTCAGGTTTAAACGTCTTGTTTGGGATGTTTCGTGTTTCTGCGGTGTGCTGTTCTGTCAGAGGGTTGAATTATGGACCAAAACGTACGTGTCGTTCCTACTCCTTGCCTTGCTTTTCCTTCCCCTCGCTTGTAGATGGGGTTCACGGTGATGGTGTAGGTGGTGGTGGGCTGCAGGCGCTTCATGACGGTGGAGCTGCTGGTCCCGGGGACCTTCAGGAACATTTCTTTCCCCCCGCCAATCGGAGAGTACTTCAGCCGATAATGCGCCACTTTTCCCGGCGCCGGCGTCCACGAGACTCTCATGGATCGCTCGGTCTCCTCCGACACCGCCAAGCTTTTACCGGCAGCAGAGGCTGAGAACAGAGGAAAAAATATATAAACATTATATTATAATGCCAACATTTTTGTATTTTTAAATGTAATATAATATTTTTTCTAGGTTTTTTTGTAGTGCAGTAACAGGATGTATGATATCATTTATTTATTCATTCATTCATTTATTTATCCATTTATTTTATGTATTCTTTTCTTCTAAACCCATATACACATATAGATAAAAATTCATGATATGTTTTTAAAATTAATAAAACATTATTTGAGTGCCAGGGGGCACCAGGGGGGTCACGCAAAGTTTGAGGGAAAAGAGATTTTTTTCTTTCTTTTTAAGTTTACATTTTTTTTTTTAGATGTTACTAATAACTGTATATCTATCAATCTATGCGTCCTTTGATGCCAATCTTTCAATATTTTTGTTTTTGAATCACATGACCGCCCTTCAAGCCAATCAGAATCGAGCTGCCGCTACTGATAGTGAAAATCTGCTCAGCTTTTGGAGCAAGTGAGAGCTAGTGAATGTTTCGCTCTGCAGCTGGATGAGAGCACGGATGTAGCAAATGTCGCAGAATTGCTTGCATACAGCATTAGATTTATTTCAGAAGACAACTTTGTTGAGGAAATATTATTTTGCAAAGCACTGGAAGGTAGGACCACATGAAGAGACATTTTCCAAGTTTTAGATGAGTACATCATCTCAAACGGACTTGACTGGTCTCGTTGTGTGGGTGTGTGTTCAGATGAGGCAGTGGGGCTATGACAGGCAAAGAAAGCGGAGTGACAGCTTCGATCAGGCAGAAGGCCCCAAATGTAGTGGCAACGCACTGCATGCTCCATCGGGAGGCACTTGTACACATCATTTAAAAAAATGTTTGCAACAGGGGGGTCCCCGCCAGAGGATAATGCTATATGGGGTCCTTGGCATGGCAAAGTTTGGGAACCCCTGGTCTAGAGCACTGTGTGGGTATCAGGGGCGCTGCCTTAGAGTGGCTCAGGTCCTATCTGTCCCAGAGATCTTTCTCTGTTAGGCTTGGTGAATTTGCATCTTCTTCTGCCCCCCTATTCTGTGGAGTTCCCCAAGGTTCTATTTTGGGGCCCATTTTATTTTCCTTATACCTTCTCCCCCTTGGATTAATGTTTAGAAAAACATGGTGTCTCCTACCACCTTTAAGGCCCTGACACACCCACCCGATTTTGGGAGTCAGAAGCCGTCAGAGGCAGTCAGGCGTTCGCGGCGCCCTACTCAGGTGTCCCGCACCGTCGTTGCTTTACGGCACATTTTCACACCTCCCACGGAAAGTCGGCCAAAGAAATCACTCCGATTGGCTGTTGCCTCTTTTGAATGATGAGTCTACACTACCGCTGCCCACTGGTAAGGACATTTATTGCCACTCGTCGACTGAAGTCTTTGCGGTGTGTTCGTAGGCGGGCGGCGTAGGCGGGCGCAAGCGACGTAGCGGACGTAAAAGTCGGGACGCCTTCGGTACGTGTTCTTTGGTCTCAGGTTGGTGTGTAGCGGCCTTTATGCGGACGACTCCCAAATATATCTATCCCTAAAGAAAAACACCAGTTCTCTGATGCCCCTGGTTGACTGTCTTAATGACATAAAGGCCTGGATGGCGCTAAACTTTTTAATCATAAATGAGAGCAAAACGGAGGTCATTGTGTTTGGACCAAATGGTGATGTCCCTTCCGTTGACCTGGGTTCCCTGCGTATGCAAAACCCATGGTCACAAATCTGGGTGCCAAAATCTACAGTGCTTTTAAATTAGATAAACAGATCAACTCTGTGGTTCAGTTCAGTTTTTATCGCCTGAGGCTCCTGTCCAAAATTAAACAGGTTTTATCCTTTTTAGACTTTGAGTGTGTAATTCATGCCTTTGTTTCTACGCGTCTAGATTACTGTAATGCACTTAATGCCGGCCTAAACAAGACCTTGCTGGCACGCCTGCAGCTGGTACAAAACGCTGCGGCTCGGCTGCTTACAGGAACACGCAAGCATGAACACATCACCCCAATGCTGGCTTCCCTCCACTGGCTTCCAGTCCATTTCAGAGTTCATTTTAAGATTGTATTGTTTGTTTTCGCTTAATGGGCTGGCCCGTCCCTCAGTACATCTCTGACCTCCTACAGGAGTACACCCCCTCGAGGGCTTTGAGGTTGGCTGATCAGCTGCTGCTGGTAGTCCCTAAAACCAAGAAAAAGACCAGGGGAGACCGAGCCTTCTCAGCGGTAGCCCCCAGGCTCTGGAACGACCTGCCCCCTCATGTCAAATTGTCGCCCACCCGCCCAACTTTTAAGTCCCGCCTAACGACCCACCGCTTTTCCCTCGCTTTCGAGTCAGTCTGAACTGTTTATCGTTTTTTATGCTTTTATTGTCTGTCCATAGCTTTTATGTACCGTGTAATAATTATTATGTGTGCCTTTTATCTATTATTGTAATATTATATTTTATTAGAATGTTATGTTTGTTGTGAAGCACTTTTGTAAACCCTCTGTTTTTATTATGTGCTATTCAAATAAAGTGGATTGGATTGGATATCCCTCCGTAATGTGTGTTTAACTGCAGGCATAAATGTTGAGTAATCCCACAGCGTCATGCCAAGACTAATTGGTTATAAATTAGGCGTTCACTCAGAAATTATCCATTGGTGAAGAAATGTTAACCACATTTTCCCTCAGAAACAAAGATATGAAATCAACTTATTCCAATTATTCTGCAAGTTATTACAAAAAGAAAACTCTGCAAGGGAAAAATATGTAACTTTAACAATCCCCAGGAATGTTTTTCAGACCGCATGATTTTATTTTATTGGCGGAAAGAAACATGGCATCCAACTTTTCAATGTGTTGTTGGCAAGCCCCCAGGAAGTGTGCCGGACTCTTTGCCCAATATTCGTTGTGTCCAAATGGCGGTAATACAACTTCTGTATCAGTCCGTGACGTCACTGGGCCCAGAAATGCTTTTTCCCATTGACTAACATTGGGAAAGAGACGTCTGTAAATCAGTGGATACTTTTTTTGAAACTAAATAAACTACCCAATATGAACTATTTTATAGCCCTTATTAGAATCATTCGGTCCTTAAAGTTGTAAAATGCACTGAAAGCCGAATCTAGATTTATTTTCTCTTTCCATTCTTTCTAGTGAGCCAAGAGTGGGAGCTCGGGGGGCGGGGCTTAAGGGGTGCATGCTCTGTGAGCGCACATACGGGTTCTTCTGCTCCGACAGCTAGGCATGCTGGGTAATCTGTGACGTTTCTCCCTCTCAAAAGTTGGGCCATTTTGCCTTCATGCGCCAATGAGCAGCTCTCATAGGAAAGAACGAGACCCCGCCTCCCACGCTGTATCCAGTTCTTATTATACATCCATGTTGTTGGATTACAAAATAAATAGCTGGAGGGACAAAACACGCTAAAAATGTGTTTTATGAACTCATGAGGTTTCTACACATGGAGGAAATAAAATGTACTTTGGGTGGTTCCATCGGTACATTTTCAGGGTTTTTATCCAAATTATTTTCTGTATTTTTATAGAGTTTTTTTATAGATATTTTGTTTATGTGATATTTCTACCCTTTATTTTATTGGGGGGGTTCTTTTGTGCAAGTTGTGTTTATTAATTATGTTATTTATAATTACTTTATTTGTACCGTATTATTATTATTATATTGTTTCCTTTTTTATGACATGTTTCTACCCTCTATTTTATGGTTTATCTTTTTAGATTTATTTATTTGTAAGTGTTTGATTTGTCTACATTTCGTCTTGCTGTGGCTGGCCTGTTTGTGAAGATTTACGCAATCTGATTCCTCATGTTTTACAACATAATAGGTAATGTGGTGAAGTTTCTAGGGCGTGTTTCTTCTCTAATGCAACGTGTATTCACAATACGTCATTCACTCGCCACACACACATTGAACCAATATCCCCTCACTTGTGAATTTGGATATTTCAGAGAGCGTTAAACAGCAGAACTGTCAACACTTCAGCGTGACACTCCCATTTACAGTTTGAACATCATCAACAATGAATATCCTGATTAGACGCGAGAGAAGAAGAATGCCTAATGTGTGATTATGCAAGCTCTGAAATCCATTTTCCACTGTAACAAAGGAAGTATTGATTCGATTCTGGCTCATATTTGTGTTGCACGTAGTTCCTAAGCATCCCTCACAGGGGGAAAAGTCTAGCTCATGAACTCACCACCAACTTGTATTCACCTCACCTGGTCTGCAGAAGGGATTTAAATGCACCTTAACCTCCAAGCTGTTCAGTAGAGCTGCTCTGTCCTTAATTTAAGTATTTGTTGAAGTTCTGTTGCATGCACCTATTCTTCTTTTATCGTTTAATGTAAAGCATGTTATTACCAAGTTTTTAAAAGTGCCACATAGCCTTACTTATGATTAGCTAGGCAACTTAACCAATAGTGTATTTTCGGGAAATTCCCCAAATAAATGGTCCTTTTTGTGCACCCACAACCACGAAAAACCCCCCAAGAAATGGTGTAAATTGCAGTTCAACTTGTGGGCTTGTTTGCACTGTGTTTGTGAATACATTAAAACCTCCAAATGAGTCAGCAATATCAAAATGAGCCAGCGTTTTATTTTGACATTATCAGCAACAAATACTGTCCTAGATTCTGGCCGTCCACGCCATTACACGCTACCTTCATTAAGAATATAGTGGTGCAGGAATGAGTCTTAAAACCTGGGGATGAGTCAGCATTTTCTGTGTTCTTACCGTCAGTGGTTTCCTGTCCAATGAGAGGTTCGCTGTCTCTCTGCTCGTATTTGGCGATCACAGAAACTTGGTAAATCGTCTCCGGACTCAGACCCTCCAGAACGGTTTCGGTTTCGTCTCCCGGCACCGTTTTATCTCCGGCTTCTGCCGAAAAAAGAGACTTCCACCGGATTTGGTACATCTTCACGTTCCCGGGAGCCGCTGTCCACGACGCCTTGAAGCTGGATTCAGTCACGTCGCTGGTGACCAGGTTCTTAGGAGGGGCCACCTCTGAAAAACAACAAGGGAATTGTGCTTTTAGTTTTTGTTATTTTCATTCATTAGTTCTGGAAGTTTTGTGTCTTTTGAACGTAGATTTTTATTTTATCGCAGGACAAGTAACCTTGATAAGGCATTCCGAGACAAAAGTATTGCAGGACATAATTAACGTGTAACGCAAGAGGAAATCATAAGAGATATAAAATAATGTTGAACGAAAGTCACCTGGAACAAGAGCAACACAGAATGAAAGCAACGGAGAATTTAAGTAACGTAGGACAGGAGTAACGTAGGACAGGAGTAACGTAGGGCAAGAGTAACGTAGGACAAGAGTAACGTAGGGCAAGAGTAACGTAGGACAGGAGTAACGTAGGACAGGAGTAACGTAGGACAGGAGTAACGTAGGACAGGAGTAACGTAGGACAGGAGTAACGTAGGGCAAGAGTAACGTAGGACAGGAGTAACGTAGGACAGGAGTAACGTAGGACGGGCAGTTATGGCAGTTTTGTGTCTTATGAACGTAGATTGTTCTTGATATGATTATTTAATATTTGGTCAATTAAGATTGTTTATACATCTTCACGGTCACCTGTATATTTGTCTTACTTTCTAATTGCTAATTTAAATGTTTATATTTTAGAATCATTTATTTTTACTCTTTTAATTAGTTATTATGTGCAATGCCTTGTTTTGTTTATTCTGCTGCAACAACAAAACATTCCCAAATTGGGATTAATAAAGTACATTTTATCTTAATTTATTGTTTCAAGGTATTTCGATTTTTCGGAGCAATAATCTCAAGTTTTTTAAAGATAAACTCATAAATCAAATTCCCTAAATGTCCTCCCAGACACGAAACAGTTTCAATTTATTTCGCAATACTGACATTTAGAGAGAATGTCCTTAAGGAAAGTTCAAAGAAGAGTCCTTATCCTGACCACAAAGGGATGATTTGATTCTGGGGAAATTTAAACAAATATTCCAAATCAACTTGAATCGGAAAAAAGACGATCAAGGAGATTGGCCTCAGTTAGACACACACCATGAGTTTTCCAATGAATGGACCCAAAAGTAAATATTTCTTAAGGATTCGTTCCCTGACTTTGTGAACAATGGTGGCTTAAAATTCCGTACATTTCCTCCCAAAAACAGATGTTTTAAATCTCAACAGTAAGCCATTTGTCTTCAGTATACCATAAAGGCAGTGTGGTTGTTTTTTCTTGAATTCCTTCCATTATCTTAATTTTATTCTCCTTAAAACAAAGGAACAATTTTTCAATTTTGTAAAGTGGAAACTATTAAAAAGGCCAGGGAGTGGAGAGAAGAATTGAAGAAGTCTCCACAGCTATAAAGGGCAGAGACGCCTGGAGAACAAATGCAATATTTGAAATATTTCTGAGGACATTTCGGCTTCATTAGTGAGTTCAGAGCGTGCGGAGACAGGAGCCGAGGGAGACGAGAGACATAAAGCATGTCGGGAACTCAAAGTGTCTGCGACGCCCACGAGAGGAAGAAATGTCTTTATTGGGTTTTATTTATTGGACATCTTCATCGGTTCAGAGCTTCCTAGATGTTTTACCTTCTAGCCTCTAGAGACATAACTTCATAACTTGCTTTCTTGTGGGTTATGGAATATGTGTTTTAATATCCCAATGTTTTCAGTTTATTACTTTGGTCATTTCTGTGGTTTTGGCATCGAGGCTTTACTTGAAATAGCAGCCGATGATGGATGTTAAAACGGGACACTTTGGGTAAGAATTATACTAAGATTTATGCTAGTTATCTATCTTCTGTTCTCTCTTCTATATACGTTTTATTTACAGATATTGTATCGTGGTCGTCATGAAAAAAAAGGTATATTATAAAGGGATTTTTTTTGTCTTATTTGTTTTACACTGTATGTAAAAATATGTATGGACAAACGTCAATAAGTCAACAAATAAAAAAAATAATTCCTATGTGATTTTCTTTAAATATCCAGTTTTAAGACACTAGTATATTCTCTTTTTGTTTGTGCATTTCTCCGAGATAAAGATCCTTTTGCGCAAGTTAACTGTTCTTTCTGCCAAAGTAATATCTTATGATGTCCATTCATTTCACCCTGAGTCCAACTAACCCAAAACAGACCCTAAATCAACCCTTGTTGAGTTGAGTAACTGAATCGCATCGCTATACAAAAATGTGCTCACTCAGAAACTGCTTCGTACTGAGAGTTACATTACAAACATCATGACCTCAACTCTCTGATGGCTGCAGCTCACAGAAGCCAAAACCCTTGAAGATGTATTTAAATAAATATATTTTCCCACCACAGGGGCTCGTGTTTCTGCAGGCAGACATTTGGTCACTTTCCTATACAGACACAGGAAATATTTGTGAAAGATGGAAAAGGAGGAGGAAGAGGGGGAGGCATGTCAGATTATAATATGTTCTGGAGTTATAGAAGGTGACAGCATGTACAGTGGGAAATAAAGTTTACACAACGTGATGATTAGCAAAGAATATCACTTCCCGCTATATAATCAAGAAAGTGAGCATCAACTTGTGCCAACTGATACAGATCCTTAAAAAGAGAGAGGATAGGAAAGCAGAGGGCTCTCCAAATATGTTTAAATGTCGTAATAAATGAAAGCAGAATGAATATAACGCTGAACGCCGGATGAAAAGTCACGTGGGAACAAAGTCACGTGGGAACAAAGTCACGTGGGAACAAAGTAACTTGGGAACTAAGTCACGTGGGAACAAAGTAACTTGGGAACTAAGTCACGTGGGAACAAAGTCACGTGGAAACAATGTAACGTGGGAACAAAGTAACGTGGAAACAAAGTCACGTGGGAACTAAGTAACGTGGGAACAATGTAACGTGGGAACAATGTAACGTGGGAACAAAGTAACGTGGGAACAATGTAACGTGGAAACAATGTAACTTGGGAACTAAGTAACGTTGGAACAAAGTCACGTGGGAACAATGTAACGTGGAAACAATGTAACGTGGGAACAAAGTCACGTGGAAACAATGTTACGTGGGAACAAAGTCACGTGGGAACAAAGTTACGTGGGAACAAAGTCACGTGGAAACAATGTAACGTGGGAACAAAGTCACGTGGAAACAATGTAACGTGGGAACAAAGTAACGTGGAAACAATGTAACTTGGGAACTAAGTCACATGGGAACAAAGTAACGTGGGAACAAAGTAACGTGGAAACAATGTAACTTGGGAACTAAGTCACATGGGAACAAAGTAACGTGGGAACAATGTAACGTGGGAACAAAGTAACGTGGAAACAATGTAACTTGGGAACTAAGTCACGTGGGAACAAAGTCACGTGGGAACAAAGTCACGCGGGAACAAAGTCACGTGGAAACAATGTAACTTGGGAACTAAGTCACATGGGAACTAAGTAACGTGGAAACAATGTAACGTGGGAACCAAGTAACGAGACAATTTCCTCCTATCCCAAACTTTGACTTGCTTGATTACAACATCACGTATAGCATCCAAAATTGACCGGCATTACAAAATATTGCATGTATACGTGATACTTTTGAGAAGTTAAACACCAGTAGCTGTTTTTGATCACGGGGAAAAAAATATCTCTCATATAAAGTGGAGAAATAACCAATGCTCATTCTAGTGCTAATGGAGATCCTGATAAAGACATACTGTAAAGACTTTTAATTTGACTGGTTGCATTACTGTCTGACTGAGAAAACACATCAAACTTTATGTTGCTTTGGATGTGTTTGACTTCATTAATGTGCAAGTATTAGTGTATTTCCGTGTGTGTTTTCAGAGCGGACGTCACTCAGTCTTCACCACAAAGACGCTGCTGCAGCCGCCATTAGCTCGAAGCCACTGCCAATTTTTAGCTGCTTCAAGGAGCACTGTCTCTCAAAGCTGAGAGCCAAGTCTGGAGGAGAATAACAGCCACAGACAGTCTTCAGATGCAGAGTGGAATATCTTGCAGTCTGCGGACCTCAAATGCACTCAGACCTATTTTTCCAGAATCAGTGAAGAGACAAATCTGAACAAAACCGTATGAAATGTAATGATGATATTTCCACTGTTCTGCATCCATCTATCTGAACAGCTTCAGAGAGAGATGTTCAAAAAGCTAAACGTCTTGTTTTGGACAAAACTGCCTGGTTTTTGCAGACAAAGCAAATCCATGTATGGACATCTGAAGACGCTCTCCAAAATCTTTAAAGTCGGAAAACGTGTTTCTGAACTGGGTTAACAATAAAAAAGTGGAGGAAACAAAATGGTGTTTTTTTACATTTAACAAAGCAAATCAATATATGGAAATGTCAAGAAGCTAAGAAGGATTGTTGCATCTAGAAAGCCTACAAATACATATCCGACTATCGCATAACTTTAAGTAAAATGTTCTCTCCACACTGAATCCATTAATGCATTTTACTGTTACTTTTACAACCCTGCTTTGTGCTCGAAGACTAAGGAGACATTACTACTGAGTCTGATGGGTGAGACTTGCAATCTGCCCATGTTTTTAAATCAGAAAACAAATGTTTTATGGTTCAATGTACACTGGACATGATATGCAAACATAGCCAACAGCAAGAAGTAGCCTGCTAATAAGTTGTCAGTAGTTTTTAACTCCCTAGCGATCTCCCTCAAGCCAGCTGCTTCCTTATTTGGGGTTTTGTAGTAAAAAATAGTCATGAACGCCTCATCTCAGTCATTCCTGATGCATTGCAACGTGAGTGACTACGATAAACAGAAACAGGAAGTCCGAAAGAAACACGAAACCTGTGTCCCTTGCAGCCAGAGGAAATTCCAACAAAAAAATGCAATCAATTATATTTAGTAGCTGACACTTGTTTGCATTTGGGCTTTAAAAGATGGAGTTACATATGCAAAGTTTCCATTAAGTATCGTCACGTCATAGGGGTCCAAAATCTAGAAGTCCTGCTTAATATCAAAGTTTGTGGGGTCTTTCCAAATGAGTATGGACTTGGTGACAAAAAGCAGATGCAGAGTCTTTACAGTCCATCAGCTGCAGACAGGTTTACACTAACGAGCGGAACAGTTCTCATTTATACAAACGTCATCAGACTTTATCCGTGGATCTGCTGTGCCATTTGTTTGACCGAGTCTCCCGGGAGCATTTATACGGTAATGTTTGCCCTGAATTCCCTTTGATTTATCTCCCAGAAAGCATTGCAACATGCTGCTTTTTTTGGCACGTGGGAGAGTTTTCCATTTTAACTCTAATTTGGTCGTCAACAGAAATCCCCTTGTGCCCAGACACACCTTCATATGTGCTCCTACTGTACAGTAAAGGGTTCTACAATAAGAAAGTGTGCGCTCACAGTATCAGGGCAGTTTTCCACTGGTTCAGCCCGGCATGTGAGGGAAACAAAGGTATGAACTGGACCTTGAACGCAACACGGTGGAACCAAAATGCCCTGTCCTGTGCCAGTAGGGGAAAACCTGAAGCAATTGGGGAAAAGGACACAGAGGAGGTTGTATTGAATGCACGTGGACAACACCATTCAATTCCAGGCAAGCCTTTACAAGCTGGAAGGAAAATCTAAGAAAGAGAGACAAGAAATTAAGAGACGGGGAAAGAGAGGAATTAGTAAAAAATACGAGGGTAGATGAGAAAGACATCAGGTGAGAAACAGACACATGGAGACGGAGACATAAACACAGGAAGACAGAAATAGGAATGAGTCAGTCCTCCCCACTCTGAGCTGCATTCCTGTCGGGTCTTGCTGGTTCTCATCTCTACCTGCTAATGTGTCCACTTTTACTTTTACTCTCACTGACTGTGCCTTAAAAAGCTCTCCGCTGTGTGAGAGGCACCAGTGAGCAACCGTCACCGAGGGCCACGTACAAAAACATATACGAGTGATACAGGAGCTTCAGATTGATTATAATAAGGGGAAATATGGAGGGTGCATTTGAAGCTTGTTATGTCATTAAGTTACTGGGCTTTTATTAATCAACTAAGAGCGGTTTGAAAATGTTTCCAATTGATTTAATTTAGTTTAAAAGTGGGATTATTAACACATGAATACTGTGTAATATATTTGTATATATATATTTCAGAAGTACAAGCACAAGTTTCATTTTTGGGACGTATTTCATTATACTTTTTTAACTAGCTGAGGGCCGATTCAAAATGGGACGCATTTGGTCCCCGGGCCGTAGTTTGGACACCTCAGACCTACACTCATCATAAGAGGGTTAGGTCTAACCTGATGGGATTTGAATCAACCCTTCATGTTTTTAATTGTCACTTTTAACCGATCCTGAACCAGCAGCTCTCGCCTTTCTTGGTCCATACTTTAGTCCTTTGGGGTTCGGAGACCAATCGGACCGTTGCACCAAATCATGACTGTGTGTTTAATTAATCAAATAGCAAGTGCAGATCATTATATATAAATAAATAAATTAACGGTAGCTTCTTTTTGCCACTAGTTTATGAATTAGATCGTGTAAAAAATGCATGTATACATGTTATTTATGGTGCTGTGAGAAACCACTATTGCTAACATTAAGTAGCCGAGGTGGCTAGTAGGAAAACTATTCAGCGTTTTCTACAATCTAAGAGCTCCATGTGGTACCAAAAGAACATTTTGCCACACTAATGAACTCAAAACAGCACATGTAAGTACAAGAAGTACACCATTTGAAACACAGCATTGGTTTTTATCACGACTAGTATGAAACCTGAAGAAAACCAACCTCCAATGCCGAAGAGAAAGGCCTAGAAACTCAGGTTTTCATGACTCAATGTGCAGAAAGTGTGCTGTTCCTCCAGACATTATCCAGAGATGCTACAGCTTTATTAAGTAGCTTAGTGTGACAGGGATTATGTCATATGTTAGCAAAGACTAAAGCTGAATGATCTCAACCCAATTGGTGTAGATCTGTGTGCAGGAAGGACAGACAAAAGCTAAGAAAATAGGGCCCAGATTGTAAAGAAATTGATTATATTTCACATCACGCCTTTTTAAAAACGACATGTTTCATCTCCTTCCTCTGTTTTCCTTCTTCTCCTGTGTTTATTAGTCCTCTCCTGTAACAATAAGCCTCTCTGGGGATTGAGTTACATCAAAAAGAAAGCCATGTTCAAACATTAACCTGCATCGAATGTTTGCCCCGTTTGTTTTTACAAGCCGGTTTTTGTAGATCTTCCAGGACTTATTCAGAGCAATTAGAGCAAACCTCAGACATTAGCTGTGGTTGTTGCAGCCATAACACAAAAGCATAAAGAAAATCCCTTAATCTCTGGGATCAGCGGGTCACAGCTGCGTGCCAGAAATAATAACTAGCTTCAGAATGACCAGACTTTATTCTACGTGTCTGCGTTCGCTGCGTTGACAGATGTTAGATGTAACAGAAAGATATCTCTGTGTTTATTCACTGTATCTGGTAGAACGTGCATTACTCATCATTTTAATAGGTTTTGGAAAGTGTTGCTGTGCTTTTGAGGTCATAAACTCACACTTTCTGCAGAGATGCATCTTGATTAAGAAAGAAATACAAAATGTGTTCTTTTAAGCCTGAAATAAAATATGTTTTTATGAACAATAATGAATTAAATGACTCCACATGAAGGGAAATTGTTGCTTAAGATTAGGAACCAATATGGGAGTTTTTTAAGCCTCTTTTAGCTCCTAGTTTTGCTTCAGTCACAGTCACAGTGTTTCCAGCAGCCAACACACTCTAATAGACCCCAAAGATACTTCCTGCTCATCAGCAAGGTTTTAAGAGACAAGCTGGAGAAGGAAGTGAAGTATTTAGCAGCTAGAGAGAAAAGCAGTTTCTGTATAAAATGAATATGTTGCTGACGGGAGGATTAGCGAGTGATACCGAGCATTTTGTTTTGCTGCACATTTAAGGTCTGGTTTAGTCTCATTACCAAACAGCAATCATACACAGTTAGAGACCGGCTGGTAAAGAAAGTAAGTTTAGCAGCTAAAGAGCAAAAAGTGTTTATCAGGAGTTAGTGGAGACCAAGCTATAAAGGGAGGCTATGGGACTCTTAGCTGAACACTAACACTGGCTTGGTGTCTAACTGCTTGGTTTTTATGAAACGCATCACTGTAGAAATTGGAGGAGAAGTTTGTTTTTCAACGTCTCAGGCTCTGTCAGCGCCTTTCTGCTAGAAAGAGATGACATCTGAACAAAGGGCCCCTCTGTGGAAAGAGACTCTGAAAGTTTCAGGAACAAAGATTCTCTCTCTTTTTGATCCATTTCCATAAAAACCTGTCTGAAAATGAGCTGATCAGATTTTGGCCACTTTATGATGTCATATAAAGTGACATCATTGTCTTGTGTAACCATTAGCCAATCAGCACCAAGGTAACCCCCCCCTTATCACCTGAATCTCCTCCTAGAGCAGTGGTTGTCAACTGAAATGTCTCGGGGTACCCCACTTTTTCCTAAGTCAATAAATCTTGACCCGAAATTTTGAACCACTCAAATCTATTCAACAAAAAGTCGTGCTGTAATATTTATACGCTTTTCAGCATATGATATTAATGAAAGTGAAGTACAGTGCACAAATCCCTTCACAGAACTGAAGAATGCTTTTAAAAAAGGTTTAATGAGATGATGGAATCAAAGCTGAACTATATAAAAAGGCACACATGCTGAAAACCCAACCCCAGCAGGGGGNNACTACCCGAAATATTAATAATATTTGATGCCATTGTTTGTTTTTCACTTTGTTCTGACAGCTTGCTGCTCCTCACAGAGAGAGAGCAAAGAGGAGAGTCTGTGTGAATTACTTTAAATTGCTGGTAAGGGTAGATAGCCCCCATTGTTCTGTGACCTGTCAATCATCAGACCGGGGGTCATATTTCATTATGTGTTCATTTTTATCTGAAGTTGTACCCATGGATGTATAAAGAAGAGTTCTACTGCAAAGTTATTCTCCGTGGGGACTTCCGGCAACACTCTTGATTCTGATTGGCCAGAAGACTCGAAAAAACATCAGCAGAGATGTTTTATTGAGAAGATGATCACTACGTGACAGAAGTTTTCAAAACCGTTTATGGTCTCCGGTACTTCCAGTCCAACGCCGACTGCATGCACAGCGTTAGAACATCGGGCCTTCAAAATAAAAGTTATTTTTTCTGCACTCACACATCCACTCAAAACGGGTCCGCGACCCACTTTTTGGTCGCGACCCACCATTTGAGAACCACTGTCCTAGAGCACCATTGAGTTCTTTGTAACCAAATGTCTCTCAGAGGGGCGTGGGGAGGGGCTCCTTATTTTCATCTAAAGTAACAGACAGAGAATCAGCACTTTGGAAACAGGGCTGAAACAGAGGGGATTATGGGTAATGCTGCAATGATCTGTTTGGTGTTTCAGCCAATCAGAGACAGGCTCTGGGTATATCTGAGACCTGTGATATATTGATGAAACACAGTATGATAGGGGACCTTTAAAACATGAAAGGACTGTCTTACCTTCTAGCGTGGTTCCTCGTCCCTCCAGAGCGTCGCCCATGCCTGACGGGTATCTGGCGCTGACGGAGATCTCGTACTGGGTCCCCGGCTGCAGGTTCTTCAGGAGCGCCGCCCTGTTGTCTCCCTTCACCGACACCTCCTTCCTGGGACCGCCGGCGGAGGGTTGGTAGGAAACACGGTACTGCTGAACACTTCCAGGAGCCGGCTCCCAGGAAACCTTCATGGAGGAAGCGGTCTCCTCGAACACCCTCAGGTCCCGAGGTGAACCTTTGGCTGGAAGGAGAGGAAGCAAGGTCAGAAAATGAAGCGGAGAAGAGAATCGATTTTGGAAAGTCTGGTTTTCTTGTGTTTATTTCTTGATATTGACATGTTGAGCTTGCTTTCTTTAGAGAAATAAGATAAGATAAGATGTACTTTATTCATTTTTTTGTTGCAGCAGCATAAAATAAAACGAGGCATTGCACAGTAACACATTAAAAGAGTAGAAATAAACAATCCTCAGGTCCCGAGGTGAACCTTTGGATAGAAAGAACAGAAACAAGGTCAGAAAATGACGAAAACCGGTTTTGAAAAGTTTAGTTTTCTTGTGTTTATTTCTTGATCTTGACGTGATAAGCTTGCTTTAATGAAAGAATCAAAAACGTACGATCAGAGAAACTTTCTTTACAATTCTCACATTGTAAGTGACCAACAACGCTTCTTCGGAGATGGGATTGTGTTTTGGACAAGAAGCGTTACTTAAATCGTACTGTACTAAATTTCTGCTTTATAAATAAAATAGTGTAAGTACAGTCAAACTTCTCTGCAAATTCTTGGTCACAATTTTCCTGGAAACCATGACATTTACCACTAAGAAAACTGATAGGAAAAGATAGGACGTAATGGATCATCTTAAATGTCCTTGACCAAGACTCTGAACTCCCAGATGCTCCACTGACTTAAATCGTACTGAACTGGTAAAGTATAACTACCGTACATTCGTATGTCCTTGTAAATTCTCTATCACATTGTTCCTTGAAATCAAGAAATGCACCATCAAGTAGAAAGAAAACTGAGAGGAAAGGATATAACGTAGTGGTCTTCTTTTAGTATTTGACTGCTGCCAACGTCTGAAATGCCTTCGACCGAGTCTCTGAGTTAGTCAGAGAGCTCCAGTTTGTGCACAGTAGAAAACTGGAGAGCTCCCAGGATCTGATTTAGTGTAAGTAGGGCAAGTTCAAACAATTCCCCTTTGAAAAGAATTGTTAAAATAAATGGGTGACTCATTTGCCCTGGTGTTAACGCCTAGTGCTGAGTGTTACTGAGAGAGGTTTTATTGTTGGATTGGCCTTTGTGTATTTTTCCTACTTAGTAATGAAAATATCAAGGATTTAAAGTGAAATGCACTTAATTTCCCCCCAATAGTTGTCAGAAAACGTGTGAAGTGATTCCTAGCAGCTGCTGTAACCTCTGTGCCACTGCAGGACTCGTGGAAAAGACTTGCATCGATTCATAGTTTTCAGATACAGTCATGGCATTGTAAACATTGTAATAGGAACAATATCGTAAGCCCTATACGGGGAGAAAGGAAAACCAGGAAAACCATGAGTCCATCTGAGAGCCAGCTGGGTGTGCAAGCTGGGATTAATCCAATTGCCTCTTTTTATAAACCATCACAAAAAAAATCCACCTCAGACGACAAGCAGCTGTTCTCCTGTCTGAGGAGGACTCTCATACTCGGAGAAATGCTGTTGCCATGGAAGCCGGGAATATATAATGTTTATTTCCAGTGTTTTGGCTCAAGGTCGATGATAATATGCTTCCTCCCGGACGCTCTGAAGCTAACAAGTTCCTCCAGGAGATAATATCTCCTGTCAAGAGTCAAGAAATATCACCAAGAGTGTGAAGAGAAAACTCCTACGCTCAGAGGAGGAAGAAGTACTCAGATCTTGTACTTGAGTAAAAGTAGAAGTACTCAGATCTTGTACTTGAGTAAAATTAGAAATACTCAGATCTAGTACTTGAGTAAAAGTAGAAGTACTCAGATCTTGTACTTGAGTAAAATTAGAAATACTCAGATCATGTACTTTAGTGAAAGTAGAAGTACTCAGATCTTGTACTTGAGTCAAAT